TTCTGTCGTTGGTGTGCTGGATTGTGGACGATAACTGAGCATTAGCCTTGGGAATTGTGTAGAGGCAAGGTTTACTTTGCTGGAGGTTGTGGCATTTTCTTGGTACGAGTTCTGTCTCCATGATTTTCCCTTGCCCTTTTATTCTCTAGGGCCATTTCCAAGATGTAACTATCTTTAGGCTGTATCACATTACAGGTGTTTCCTTTTCTTGTCAAAATTGGTAATGGACTAGGTGCTGGTGGCTCACACCTGTAATCTTAGCTACTCAGGAGGCTGAGATATGAGGATCCACGTTCCAAGCCAGCCTGGGCAGGAACTTCTGTGAGACTCTTAGCTCCAATTAACTACCAAAAAGTAAAAGGAAGTGGAGCTGTGACTAAAGAGATAGTAGAGTGCTGACCTTGAGCAAAAAGCTCAGGGATAGTCCTGAGTTCAAGCCCAGGACTGGCACCAAAAACAAACAAAAACACTCCCAAACCTTCAGATCCCTCATCTGGCCAATATTTCCTTCTCCAGAGATCCCAGTGGGTTTATGGGGGTGCTGTTCTGAAGCAGGTGAGAGAGGGTGTGTATGTGTGTGTGTGTGTGTGTGTGTGTGTGTGTGTGTGTGTGTGTGTGTGCGTGTCAGTGTCATTTTCTGCCAAAGCTACATAGGGCTTGTGTCTTGATAGGATTTAGCTTATTCCTCCTGAGAGTTTAGATTACAGTTTTAAATTCACAGACCTTGTTAGAGGAATGCCATGTGTGTATTTCTTCCCCCAGAGAATATTTGGGCTCTTTTGCTGGGGATCTAGAGAAGGTGGAATTAAATGTTGCTTTAAATTTTTAGAAAGCCAAGGTAAATAATCTTTTGCAAGCAGAGAGGTAGGGGTTTTACCGCCCCCGCCCGTGCCGGGACTGCTTGTTCCTGACCCTGCTTGCTGGGATTTGCACCTCATCCTGGGACAGGAGCTTTCAGGAAATCCATGTTTCTCTATGCAAGGTGAGAGCTCTCTCCCTTCCTGAAGCGTCTCTGCTGCCCTTTCTTTTAATTAAAATTTCTCCTTCCTAATGTTGGAAGAGCTCCCTAAAGGTCATCCTTGAAAGGGCTGCGGCAGGAAGTGCAGCGTCTAGTTTCTGTCCTGTCGTGGGGGAGGGGAGCCGTCATGTACTCTCCCTTTTCTGTCCTGCTCAAGGGGGATGGGAAGGAGGTGTTTTTGCTAGGGACGCGGCCATGATGGCATCAGTCGGGGCTGGGCATCCAGAGCAGCCAGAGGCGTGTGCCAGCAAGCCCGCTTCCCGCGGTCCTCTCCCTTCCACAGAAGTGCTCGTGGCAGATCTTACAAGTGCTTGTCACTTGATTTTTGTGAGACTTAGGGAATGTGTTGTGTGCACTAGGTTTTCTTTCCTCTTTGTGTCACTGTCATGTTAAATGCTCTTCACTGTGAAAAAAAAATCCAGCCCACAGAAGTGAAAAGAGATGCCTTTCACAAACTATCAGGGAAAAAGTGAAAGGGATAAACTCAAGAGGAGCGTCAAATGGGACTTCCTTGGTGTCAGGATGCATGTGCAGAGAGAGTTCAGGTAGTTAGTCCGAGGACTGCCCTCTGCATTCAGTCACCATGCCACCACACAACAGGATTCTCTGGAGAAAGTTACATCACTTGTCTTCCTGGCTCTCCTGGAATGGAGAGCAGTAGTAACAACCACTCTTGCTGCCTTTGTCTGGCAGGAATAATGAAGGCCCTGATCCATCTGACCTGGAGATTAGAGCATCACTGGTGCACACGAGGCCCAGACTTCAAATTCGAAGTGGTGGAGCCGGCAGAGAGGCTGGCTCGCTCTGGGCGCTGCCATCCACTTCAGGGCTGCTGTGCTGCAGAGTTGGCCCCGGTGTTTCAGGGTTGCAGATTTGCTGCCTGCGAGAGCTGTGTTTACAGATGTTTCACGAACTAGAGAAGCTGCTCTGAACTTTACCCAGAAGGTAACAGGAAAGTACTGGATTTGCCCAGATTCCTTGCTAGTGTTTTTAGCTCTAGTTCTTTCCTTGAATGCTTTTCAGTTACAAAGCTTTGTGCTTCAGAATGCACCTGCTGTTTGTTAACTTATCTACTGGCTCTCAATCACATACCTTTCTTTCAGCCACCGTTTGGTTTCAGGCAATCTTTCTAACCCCTAGATTATAGATTAAACTGCCATTTTTCTTCTTTGGCATGGAGGCTTATGACATTAAAGGGACAAAAGTCACCTTGAAAGGCCAGTTAGGCCTTGTTTCAGGAAAGCCGTGCTTTGGGTGAGGATTATTGACCAGTGCTAACCTTGTTGGATGGATGGTTGATGGGGAACTAGACTGTAGAGAAATCCCATCTGTATGGTAGCAGACCAGACTGCAGCCTACTGACCCTCGCTGGGTGGTGTTTGTCACCAGATGACGCCATGCACTGAAAGGTGCGTGCCACCACGTGCAGTGTGAAGTTCTAACTGGTCTCCACTGAGTATTGCAGATTAAGACAATCAGTAATAGAAGTAGCCAGACAGAAGATGAAGTCTTTTTTCGTGGTACTGGAATTTGAACTCGGGACCTTATGCTTGCAAGGGTAATGCTCTACTTGAGCCATGCCCTGGCCCTTCTTGGCGGTGTTAATTATTTTTCAGATAGAGTCTTGAGTTTTTGCCTGAAATGCCACTCCTGCCTTCCTGATGGAGGCAAGGTCTCACTAGCCGTTTGCCCTAACAGATCCTCCAGATCTCTATTTCTTGAGTAGCTGGGATTTCAGGTGTAAGCCATCACACCTGGCTTGGATTCTGCCTGGCTTTGTTAATAAATCAACACTAGAGAATACTAGATTAATAGCGAGCTAAAAGGTAAGCAGTCACACGCAATACAGTCTTATACTGGATACTCACTTTGAAAACCAAGCTGTAAAGAAAGTTCAGGGATGGGGATGAGTCTAGAAATAGTCTGACTAGGCCAGGCATGGTGACACATGCCTGTAATTCCAATTCTTTTTTTTTTTTGAGTCCGGTCGTGGGGCCTGAACTCTGGGCCTGGGCGCTGTCCCTCAGCTCTTCAGCTCAAAGCTAGCGCTCTACCACTTGAGCCACAGCGCCACTTCCGGCTTTTTGCTTATGTGGTGCTGAGGAATCGAACCCAGGGCCTCAGGCATGCAAGGCAAGCGCTCTACCACTGAGCCACCTTCCCAGCCCTGTAATTCCAATTCTTAAGAGGCAGGAGCATCTCCAGTTTGAGGCTAACTTGGTCTCAAACAAAAAAGAAGCCCGAGTATAACATGAAATGAAATTTATTGACATGAAAAGATAGAGAATAGAATTTAAGGGAAAACAAGCTGATTACCAAGAAGAAAATAGTATGCATAAATGCATGGGTAAAGATTTGGGGCTGGTGTGGTGGTGCTATCTGTAATCCTAGAACTTGGAGGTGGATGCAGGAGGATTCTGCCTCTAAGGTCACTCTGGGCTGTAGAACAGAGACCCCAAGAAAGAAAAATCTGGAAGTATATATACTAAGGTGGTGTGGTACTCTCTGGGGATGGAATTTTTTCTGTGAGGTTTTCCTTGTCTTCCTAATTTTCTGCATGCACTTGTCTTGTTTCTGCACTAATAAGCCTTTTAACTTTTTCATCTGTTCTGTACAGATGAAAAGCTTTAGTATATTTCATTAGTTTTTTAATTGAGAAGGATTTTTATTATCTTTGGGACTTTTTTTTTTTTTTTTTTTTGCCAGTCCTGGGGCTTGAACTCTGGGCCTGGGCGCTGTCCCTGAGCTTTTTGCTCGAGGCGAGCGCTCTACCACTTGAGCCACAGCATCACTTCCACTTTCTGCTTACATGGTACTGAGGAATGGAACCCAGGGCTTCATGCATGCTAGGCAAACATTCCACCACTGAGCCACCTTCCCAGCCAGGGACAGTTTTTTGAATGGTGCCTTTCTCCTTTTAAAAGATTAATACTATATAATGAAAAAGTTCAAACATGAGAAATAGACAGAATAATTGTCAAGAATTTCTATGAGCTGGGCGCCGGTGGCTCACGCCTGTAATCCTAGCTACTCAGGAGGCTGAGATCTGAGGATCGTGGTTCAAAGCCAGTCCCGGCAGGAAAGTCCGTGAAACTCTTTTCTCCAATAAAACCACTAAAAATCTGGAAGTGGCTCTGTGGCTCAAGTGGTAGAGCGCTTGCCTTGAGCTGAAGAGCTGAGGGACAGCGCCCAGGCCCAGAGTTCAAGCCCCACAACCAAAAAAAAAAAAAAGAATTTCTATGGACTCCTGTCCTCTCTGCTCACTTGTCTGGAAACAAACACTGCCATACCTTCGAATCCGTTGCTTCGTGTTTGTGTCTAATGCCTAAGAGTGTAACTCGTGATACACTCTCATGGCAAATAGTAAGGTTACCAGTCTGTTAAATATCCTCCACATTTGCTCAGGTGACGTGCAAGTTCCACACCATCGTGTGTGTCTTTTAGTGCAGCCTCTCCTGCTGCTGCTGTGCATCCCAGCCCACTCTGTTCCTTTCATCTAAGGCTCTTGCTTGTCTTTCCCCTCAAGGTTTACTTGTTGATACAACTAGGTTCCTTGTAGGGTTTCTCACAGTCTGCATGCTTCCTTTTAATGCCAAGACTGGAAATGTCTATGGAGAGCATGGGAGCTTATAAAACATATTTATGGGACGTGTTTGTCAAATCTGAGCGTTTAGAGGTTGGGTTGATATACACCCTGAAGTCTTTTGAGGGCAAGACTCTACAGCTGATGAACTGAACTAGAACAAAGCAGCTTGGACATTGGATGTGCAGGAATTACCCGGATTTCCTTTTCAATTCTTAGGTTACAATTTACTCTGCAAGCAGACTCTGGTAAATGAGACTCTTAACACCCTGGGACAGAGTGGTCTGCACATTTACTGTGCTGTCATCCCCGCATACTGGATTTACTTGTTTTAGTGTGAAGCCTCCTAAGGTATTGGTTTCCACTGCCTGCCTATTGATTTGTCTCTATCGATTGCAGGTTGAAGATGGCAGTGATTCAGATACCTACAGAGAAGAGAATGAGGAACAGGGAAATTACTCCAAAAGAAAGGTCGTCTCCAACTGGGATCGATACCAGAATACTGAAGAAGAGCTCAACACCGACGGCGGTGAATCGCAGAGGGGGGCTGACTTCAGTGCGCTCCTGAGCTCAGCAGGTAGGCTCCATCTGTGTGCTGTTGCTCAGTGCTATGAAGGAAGCTGCATCTTTAAAACTGGTAATTCAGGGGCTGGGAAGGTGGCTCAGTGGTAGAGCGCTTGCCTTGCATGCTTGAGGCCCTGGGTTCGATTTCTCAGCACCACATAAGCAAAAAGAAAAAAGCCGGAAGTGGCGCTGTGGCTCCAAGTGGTAAGCGCTAGCCTTGAGCTGAAGAGCTGAGGGACAGCGCCCAGGCCCAGAGTTCAGGCCCACGACTGGACCCCCCCAAAAAAAGCAAAAAAAAAACCCCAAAAAACCCCTGGTAATTCATTCTTTGTGCTTTGGATTTTAAATTCAGCTAGTAGACGGTATTTCTAAGGCTTTACAAGAGCATGCTATTTTTTATGTCTTTTTTTAATTATTATTTTTTGTCCCTTGTGAGGCTTGCACTCAGGGCCTGGGCACTGTCCCTGAGCTCTTTTGCTCAAGGCTAGCACTGTACCACTTTGAGCCACAGCACCACTTGTGGTTGAAGAGAAGAGTCATGGACTCTTCTGCCTGGGCTGGCTTTGAACCGTGATCCTCAGATCTCAGCCTCCTGAGTAACTAGGATGACAGGCGTGAGCCACTGATGCCAGCTACAATGAGATTTCTTGAAGTGGAAGTCAGGGTCCCTGTGTATTGATACGGAGTGACTCACTGAAAGGCCTCTGAGCTAAGTGCATAATGCTGACTCTTGCTGTTCTACATTTGGTGGTTTCAGAGACATAGCATTCTCTTTGAATTTAGAGGAATCAGTACTTAGGTTTTTATGAAATTCTGCAGAGTTCTAGAATGTATTTTTTTCCTCTCCTAGTGAGGGATGGACATAGTAGTAGATATGCACATTGGAGCTGAATGTACTTAAACACTGAAACTTTGCTCTTGATGCTTTTGGATTATTTTCCAAAAAATACCAGCATAAAAACGCTATCAATAATAACCCATTCCTTCCATGAGCCGCTGCCATCAGAGATCGATGAGAAGCTGCAGGGCAGTAGCAGGAAGCCACAAGGGCTGGGTGTACAGACACTGCCCTCTGGGAGGGAATAGCATGCAATTTCACAGATATATGCCGGGTAGATTAGTGGACTTAAGAGTTGAGCATGGGGGGTGTGGAAAATAGACCCCTGTGGTGCTGGTACTGTTCAGAATGTCAATTGTGGTGGTAGATGCACGACCTCCACTGCAATAGCACAGTGCTCCATAAACCCACACACGGTAAATAAAACTAGGGCAACCTGAGTAAAATGGATGGGTCTGTATGTCACTGTGTTATTAAGCTGTCTTTTAACGAAGTTATCATTGGAGTAAACTGGGAAAAGGGTGTAAGAGAGCTCTGTATTGTTTCCTTATAACAACTCATGAATTACTTCAAGAAACATTATTTCTGCATTACAAATGTCTATAGGATGAAATTGTAACAAGCAGAGAAACAGTTCAGTTTGTTTTGAATTTTCTCCCCCATGATTTTGACTTCGTGTTGAATTCTATCCTCATTCCTCTTGGTATATTATGTTTTTGAATGTCTTAACCAGACTGAGAATCTTAGTGGCATTCATTCTCATCTAACTTAGTTGATAAACTTTTCTGAGTCTGAAACAGGTGGAAAAGTATTAAATTGTTAAAAGCACAAGATTCCGTCTAGTGTCATTGGTAGATGATGAATATAGCACATAGGTTTGCAAATGACATTCACCTCTTTTCAAGGACTGATAATTCTGAGTGGTTTTGCCAGGCTAATGAATTATTCCCTCTTGTTACCTTCGTTTTGTCTAATTATGGGCTTGTAAGTGCTTTTTATCAAGGTGGGAGAAAGGCAGAGAAGGTAAAATATGCCTAATTAGTTCAATTCTCACCAGCTTTCTGGTGAAAAGTTCTAGGAGGATAGAATTGAAGTAATGCAGCGATGCTTGTGCCTGTGTGTGGACATACAAGCAGTCAATTGTGTGGTCTGTTAAGGAGAGTCTCTGGCCATAAAGAGACTGCATAAATGTTTGCAATTAAAAATCTCAGCCTAACCTAGTAGACATGTCTTTTAGCTTCTGATTCTGCATATTATTCAAATGATTTCACCCTTGTAAGTGGTTTGAGTCTTTGTCTTTGCTTGTTGATTTCTTAAGTGGCCTGTTTACTTAGGATTGCCATATCTGCTATGTGCTAACATTTCTTTACCCTGCTACTAGTTTCTTACTTTGTAGTCACATAACATAATCCTGAAAAGAACGTGGCATTTTTCAAACGTGATGCAGTATTTTAGATTGGTGAGGCAAAGTTCTTTTTCTCTTCCTTGCATATTCGTCCTCTAAAGAACATGTAACCTGGGGCTGGGAAGGTGGCTCAGTGGTAGAGCACTTGCCTTGCATGCATGAGGCCCTGGGTTCAATTCCTCAGCACCACATAAGCAAAAAGAAAAAAGCCGGAAGTGGCGCTGTGGCCCAAGTGGTAGAGCGCTAGCCTTGAGCTGAAGAGCTGAGGGACAGTGCCCAGGCCCAGAGTTCAGGCCCCACGACCAGACCCAAAAAAATAAAAAAATAAAAAAGAACATGTAACCTCAGGCTGGGAATGTGGCTTAGTGGTAAGAGTGCTTGCCTAGCATTCATGAAGCCCTGAGTTCTATTCCTCAGTACCACAGAAACAGAAAAAGCTGAAAAGTAGCTCAAGTGATAGAGTGCTAGCCTTGAGCAAAGAAAGCTCAGGGATAGTGCCCAGGCCTTGAGTTCAAGCCCCAGGACTGGCAAAACAACAACAAAAAACCTGTAACCCGGAAGTGGCGCAGTGGCTCAAGTGGTAGAGCTCTAGCCTTGAGCTGAAGAGCTGAGTTCCAGAGTTCAAGGCCCAGAGTTCAAGGCCCAGAGTTCAAGCCCCCTGACCAACCAAAAAAAAAAAAAAGTGTCTAACATAAACGGGCTGGGAAGGTGGCTCAGTGGTAGAGTGCTTCCCTAGGCATGCATGAGGCCCTGGGTTCGATTCCTTAGCACCACATAAGCAGAAAAAGCCAGAAGTAGTGCTGTGACTCAAGTGGTATAGCATTAGCCTTGAGCTGAAGAGTTGAAGGACAGCACCCAGGCTCTGAGTTCAGGCCCCATGACCAACAAAAAAACAAACAAACCCAAACCAAACCAAAACAAAAAAACCAACACAAAAACACTGTAACCTTTTGGATAACATTTTCTAGTTTCTTTATTAAGATACACATTCTCTACTGAGTACCAAAGTACCTGAAATTAGGAAGTTAACTTTCAAAATTATGGTATCAGTATTGGATATTTAAGTTCAACCTATGATGTGTTCTTTCTTTTGGCAGCGGGGTTTGGTAGATGCCTGCAGGTCAGGTCTGGTGTGCCTCTGGTATAGTTCAGCATGCGTCTCTGGTATTGTTTGGCGTGCGTCTCTGGTATAGTTTGGTGTGCGTCTCTGGTATAGTTTGGTGTGCGTCTCTGGTATTGTTTGGTGTGCGTCTCTGGTATTGTTTGGCGTGCGTCTCTGGTATTGTTTGGCGTGCGTCTCTGGTATTGTTCGGTGTGTGTCTCTGGTATTGTTTGGTGCGTCTCTGGTATTGTTTGGTGTGCGTCTCTGGTATTGTTCGGTGTGTGTCTCTGGTATTGTTTGGCGTGCGTCTCTGGTATTGTTCGGTGTGCGTCTCTGGTATAGTTTGGTGTGTGTCTCTGGTATTGTTCGGTGTGCGTCTGGTATTGTTTGGTGTGCGTCTCTGGTATTGTTCGGTGTGTGTCTCTGGTATTGTTTGGCGTGCGTCTCTGGTATTGTTTGGTGTGCGTCTCTGGTATAGTTCGGTGTGCGTCTCTGGTATTGTTTGGCGTGCGTCTCTGGTATTGTTCGGTGTGCGTCTCTGGTATTGTTTGGCTTGCGTCTCTGGTATAGTTTGGTGTGCGTCTCTGGTATTGTTCGGTGTGTGTCTGGTATTGTTCGGTGTGCGTCTGTGGTATTGTTTGGTGTGCGTCTGGTATTGTTTGGTGTGTGTCTCTGGTATTGTTCGGTGTGTGTCTCTGGTATTGTTCGGTGTGCGTCTGGTATTGTTTGGTGTGCGTCTCTGGTATTGTTCGGTGTGTGTCTCTGGTATAGTTCAGCATGCGTCTCTGGTATTGTTCGGTGTGTGTCTCTGGTATTGTTCGGTGTGCGTCTGGTATTGTTTGGTGTGCGTCTCTGGTATTGTTCGGTGTGCGTCTCTGGTATAGTTTGGTGTGTCTCTGGTATAGTTTGGTGTGCGTCTCTGGTATAGTTTGGTGTGCGTCTCTGGTATAGTTCGGTGTGCGTCTCTGGTATTGTTCGGTGTGCGTCTCTGGTATTGTTCGGTGTGTGTCTCTGGTATTGTTTGGTGTGCGTCTCTGGTATAGTTCAGCATGCGTCTCTGGTATTGTTCGGTGTGCGTCTGGTATTGTTCGGTGTGCGTCTCTGGTATAGTTTGGTGTGCGTGTCTGGTATTGTTCGGTGTGTGTCTCTGGTATTGTTCGGTGTGTGTCTCTGGTATTGTTTGGTGTGTGTCTCTGGTATTGTTCGGTGTGCGTCTCTGGTATTGTTTGGTGTGTCTCTGGTATTGTTCGGTGTGTGTCTCTGGTATAGTTCGGTGTGCGTCTCTGGTATTGTTTGGTGCGTCTCTGGTATTGTTCGGTGTGCGTCTCTGGTATTGTTTGGTGTGTCTCTGGTATTGTTTGTGCGTCTCTGGTATTGTTTGGTGCGTCTCTGGTATAGTTTGGTGTGCGTCTCTGGTATTGTTCGGTGTGCGTCTCTGGTATAGTTCGGTGTGTGTCTCTGGTATTGTTCGGTGTGTGTCTCTGGTATTGTTCGGTGTGCGTCTCTGGTATTGTTTGGTGCGTCTCTGGTATTGTTTGGTGCGTCTCTGGTATAGTTTGGTGTGCGTCTCTGGTATAGTTCGGCGTGTGTCTCTGGTATTGTTTGGTGTGTCTCTGGTATAGTTTGGTGTGTCTCTGGTATTGTTTGGTGTGTCTCTGGTATTGTTCG